AGTGCTCCATACTGTAGTTTATTCTTGCATCACTGTTCTGCTCTGTTGTATGGGAGGAGTAAGGGTTGTGATTTTTCTTGTTTTTCATGTCTCCTTCCGAATACTACAGGTTGGACTTCCTTAGTCTGGCTTGGACAGAAGAGTTCTCTGGACCAGGGAAGGCTGAGGTGTGTGCATGCCAGCCTCTCCGTTGGGCTCCTCTCCCCAACTACCTGGCTCCACTGCCTCAATCTCCTGGCTGTGGCAGCCCCACAGGCTTGGTGGCCCCAGGGGTGCTTGCAGCAGCCCCCCACTTCCTGGCCCCGCTGACTGTGTCCTCTATGTCCTGCAAATTTTGGCGGCTCCGCCTGCTTCCTGGCCCGCTGCAAATTCCCATGGGCTCTTGCGCTCCCACCATCTTCCCGACTCTACTGCTGCAGACTCTGGTGCCCCATGGGCTCCACTGGCCAGCTTCACCCCCAGCCTCTCACAACCTCTGTGATGGGACTCTCTAGTCCAACAATATCCGTGGTCCTTCTGGACCACAGATGTTGCCGTACCAGAGTCCCAAACCACAGAGGTTCAGCCTTTAGTATGCATAGCATGCAAATTATAAATATTGAACTTCAAGTAGTTCACTTCTCATTATTGTAAAGCGGGAGACTATGCAACATCCCTGGAAGAGCATCCACAAGAAAAGGAATATAACTCTTTCTTACTTTGCATTAGAGTTGCATCATGAAACTAAGTGACGTGGTCAACTCATTAGCTCAGGTGAAACAGGAAAATAACTGGAGGATGTTTCTTGCTTTCAGTGTCATAATTGCATCCTGCATGAAACTCAGAGTTTAAGGGGTGGATTAGGTAATGTTGTATGGTGAGCTGGGAAGCAACCTTAGCTTAGGATTGTACTGAAAAGTCTGATTTTTGCCTTATCTGATTTGGTTGGTTTTTCTTATTGAAAAATCTGAAAGTTTTTAGTAGCTTTCATACTCATACTAAATGGCTTTGGCTATAGGGATGGGGAGAAGCCAATAAAAAGAAATCAGCATATAAATATCTCTAGTTCCTGAAGTACTATGGAGGTGAATCACTAATTTGGAACAACTTAAAAAACAACTAATAGTCTAGCAGCACCTTAAACACTAACAAAACGTAGATTGTATCATGAGCTTTTGTGGATACAACAGAATCTTTTTTTCTTTGCTCTCGTAGTATCTTTAATCAAAGGATTTCAGAGCACTTAATGGACAAGAATTAATTTCACAAATCATTTAAGTAATAGTATATTTTATTCTCCATTGTGAACACTTGACTTATGAAATCTTAAAACATGAAAGAATACATTTCAGTATAGGGTGTGTGACCCTCCCCCATGTTTTATGAAATGGACTTATGGACATAAGTATACCTAACTCAAAGGTGCTTTGAGCAAATTATTTAATGTAACCTATCAATCTTCATGTCATAATCCGCTGGTTCCGTTTCTTATTTCTGTGTATGTATCACTCTTGGGTGTAAAGTTAGACATATGGGCTACGTCTACACTGCAGGCTTCTTGCCCAAGATGTGCTTTTGCGCAAGAGCATCCATGGCAGTGTGGACATTCCCTTGCGCAAGAAAGCTCTGATGGCCATTTTAGCCATAGGGGTTTCTTGTGCAAGAAACTGCTGTTGCCTGTCATTGCCGCCTTGGGGAGAGGAATAACTCTTGTGCAAGAAGCACTCTTTTCTGAAACTTTACTGTAAATTTACTTGCACAAGAATGCGCATGCAGTCTAGACAGTCCGTAAGTTTTTGCGCAAGAACAGCTGTAGATGGTATCATGAGCTTTCGTGGGCACAGCCCACTTCTTCCGATGAAGAAATGGGCTATGCCCACGAAAGCTCATGATACTATACATATTTTGTTAGTCTATAAAGTGCTACCAGACCATTTGCTTGCTGTTTTTTAAGGCAAGCAGCCAAGCTGCTCTGAACTTTCTCAACAAAGTTCCATGTGGATTGGCACCTATTAAGGCCCATTGCCAATCAAGTACTGCTATTCACTTGACTAGAAAGCCTTTCACATTAGGTAGGTGAAGCTTATTGGAATCTCCCAGAAGCAAACAATTGAAATACAAGTACAGAGCCAACACTCATTACTTCAAATACAAAAATTATACATGCATATGAGCAGTATGAACAGAATCGGTGAATTGTTAGCTTACTTGGCCCACTTTGTTCAAGATTAGGTGCAAACATGTAATAGTGGCTACAACAATGATTTGCATGTTCAAATCAGAATCTGATAATGTCAAATTTACGTTCTGATCCCTGCTTTGCTACCCATTTGGTGTGGCCTTAAGCAGATTAACCCGGCTGCATCTTTTTCTCCATGTGGAAAAGAGGGATCATACTAACGTGTTTTGTAGAGGAGAATTAACTCAATTAATTTTGTAGGGGAGAATTAACTCAATTAACATGTGTAAATGTACTTTGAAAAGTACCCTCTAAAGAATACTTAATATGGAACCATTGTTTTACCTGAAATAACACAAGATAAGAGCTGTTTGTCTAAACAAAATCTGGACAAAAGAGGTGGAGCGAGAAGCTTACATTACTTTGGAGATGCTCTGAAATAATTTATGAATGCTGTATGTTGACCTGATTACTGGCTTGTTTATGAAATATGTTGTACTAAACAGGAGGTTGTTTGAAAAAACAGGCAGGAAAATAATAGTTCAAGATAAGCCATTTCTTCACAAACATTTGAAATGTAAAAGATAATGTGAGGGCTATTGTTTTTTTCCTATTTTCTAGCCCACAAAACTGGTTTGAGCCAGGATAGATGAAAAAAACCTGACAGGTTAAAAAAAAAAATCAGTCTCAAGAGAGAATGTTGTTGTTTGGGGGACTGAGATGCAGACACAGCCGGGGGGTGTCTGAAGTACCTAAGTTGCCATCAGGGGATGGTAGACCTTTGTACAAGAGAGATTTGTGTCGTGTTGTTTTAAAATCCTTTTTCTCAAAAGGCTTTGTTTCTATTATTCAACAATACTTGGTAATTAAGAAGGCTTTCTGGTTACTCTCTTCACCATGGGTCACAGGTTTTCAAAGGAAGGAATGGCAAGTGCTCAACCCAGTTGGACAAGCAAGATAAGCACAGTCGACACGTGGGATGCTGTAGCCTTGGGCTCCATCTAAGAGTGGGATATCATCTAAAATATGTAAAGGCATGAGGTCCAGGGACTGATGGATGTGCAGTCACTGACACCAGAAAGCAGACAAAGGAGCAGCAAACCCTGGAACTGTGACAGCTTAGTCATGTGAATGTTGTTGATTAAGTTTGACACTTGCCTTAATGGTTCCAGGTTTTTTATTAGTTTATATGCAAGCTGTGGGACACACTCTTACCCTAATAGTATAGCCTGGGTTACTAAAAATGATATGCCTACTCTTTAGGGAAAGTGCTCTCACTAATAAAAATATGGTGGGTTACTATAAACATCCATTCACCTACATCCAGGCACTACACACTCCTTTATGTTCTATGGATGTCTCAAAAAACCACGTGTTGTAACTCCTCCCCCCCTTCCCTCCCATCATTCACCAGAATTTGCATATATTCTTCACAAGCCATGTATGGGGCACTACTTGTGTATTTTGGGCGATGCAGGCTCCTTGTATGTGTGGGTCACTCCCAGGGGGTGCATGATGTAATTTGGCATAAAGGCATGTAATTAGCGCACTGGGCTCAAGCATCACATTGCTGTAATGTAAACTCTGTACCCACCCTCACCCCAACCCTAAAATCTGTCCCTGGATATCCTATCTACTTCATTGATGTTAAACTTGTGTTTTAAACTTCTTCACAAACATTTGCTCAATTAACTTTATAATGTAGGCAGAAGGTTTTTGTGAATGAATAGTGAACTTTGAAAAAGGATTTAATGAAGGGTGAGGTGGACTGACACACTGGAAGAGAGTTGCTGTTCCAAATGTGTGGATGAAGGAATGAAGTCAAGGGGTTTGTCGAGGTGATGGAAGGATCCAATGCATAGATGAGTTTTTAAGACGATAAATCCTTCACTTTTGTAGCTGTCTCTAAAGTGCTTCATGTACTATTATGATAGAGACAAACAGTAATGGGGATGGAGAATGGAGACTAGAAAAGAGGTGGCACCATGTAGGTGCTCAAATTGCTTGCTTGGACTTTTAGCCAGTGAAGGGGCTTTTGGGACGAGAGGTGAAAATTAACTTTTGAAAATGAACTTCATGGATACCAAAACTTTATTTGGATCTGAACTGCAAACATGGTCTCTGGATGTAAAGCAGAGCTCTGTAGATGTTTACTTTTAAGTATTTTTCCAATTTTCAAAGTTCATGCTTGTAAATGGCCCTAGGTACTTAACGGAAGGTAAGGAGTTAGTGGTGGGCACTTTAATCGTAGCTGCCTATAGTTTTGTAGTTCAGATTTCAAATGGTTTACTACTACGTCCATTTACTGGAGCAAGGGTGTGGTATCCCAACAGAAGGCATGCCACGTTTAAGCTCATACTCGAGTTGATCTCTTGAAAAAGGCAATGACAACAAGGAAATGTTGCTGTTTAATCTGTCTGATTGTGTAACCCGCCAGTTTGTGACTTTAAAATGCAGCTGTTGTAGGCAACTGATACAGCAGGGCTGTGCCATCTAGCCTCACAGTGGGATCTCAGAGTGGTTCCGTGTCGGAGAGTTCTCTGGCTTGAACTTTAGTTGGAGATTTGCTTTCTCATTCTGACTGGCTCCTGCTACTTTCCATGTTGCTACTTTCATTTTCTGTTTAGTCTCTTGAAATTTCCTTTAATCGTCCTTTGTGAGGGCCAAAGCATTTAGGAAAAAACCCATAAACAAAATTTAAACATGTGCAGTGGAGTAGGGGCAGGCAGGGAGGGAAGGTATTTGATACCTGGACACACTGGGACAGCAAGTCTGCTTTTCAGCTTGCATCTCATTTAGTTTTTTTATTAAATGCTGCAGCAGGCTTTGAATTGTTTCCCAGTGGCAAAGCAATCTGATGAAATATGACACAGGGACGGAAGAAGACTTGGCAGATGGCCTTGATGCACGAATAGCCCACTACCCTCTGAAGTATGCTACAGCTAAGCAAACCGAGTACAAAATACTGCACGCTGCTTTCAGAATTGCTGCAGAATTTTTCTTCAAGATCTGAATTTTGTTTCCTTGCTTTTTTTCATCTTAGTGCAATGGTTGTATGGCTCATATGCTGCACACTTGGGATCAGACGTCTTGGGGGTGTCTGGAGATTTATCTCTGTTTATGGATAGAGAGGAGGAAGAGCTGTGTGCAGTAGTATAATGTCTGGCTACTATAATATCTTTAACCTTGGCTCATGGTAATGAGGGGAAGACATTTCAGTGAAGACTAAACTCTAGATCATTGTGTTAACTGGTTGAGTGAACAGGAACGTCTTGGCACAGCTCCATTGTGAGTTATGTAAATCTTGTTTAGTGTATAAGCAACAGGCGTCGGATGACGCAAAACCAAGCATTTGTCTTCATTTACTGGCTAATATGACATGCACCCTTTGACTGAGCATTTGACTGAGCTGGCTGTTTTAAATATAGTTCTATCTATCCTAAGTAGAAAATGCCTAGAGTTGAAATAATGGCTTGTAGTATAAAATTTGTTGATTGTGTGTCTGTGAAAATCTTGCACTGCGGCTATTATGATCAGGATCTGCTCTGTGCTTGGTAAAACCTGATAATTAAATCCTTACCCTGTTTGGCTGCCTAAATACTTACGTCCTTCAGGACATTCCTCCATTGTCACCTGATGCATTGGATACATTCTCCATAACGTAAACAGGATGCAAGTTAATGTCACCATGATTGTGGGTAACAAGTGTATTTAAAACTGAGCTCTGTATTAGGGATGTGATAGTGTACACAAGTACTTTGTTTACTGATGAGTCTGGGCTCATCAGTTAACCTTCTGTTGGAAGACAGGATACTGGGCTAGATGGACCTTTTGTCTGAGCCAGTATGGCTGTTCTTACGTTTTTACGTTTAGTTACATGCAGACTGCCCCCTCCCTACTCTTCTTCCTGATAGAGTCAGCAGCACTGGGAGCAGGTGCTTTTAAGCCAGCTCCCCATGCATACCAGGTCCCACAGAGCCACCTACCCCCCTGTGCTGCTGCCTCCGATAAATTTTCAGTGGTTACATGTTAACTTAATTAATCGCTTTTTAACATCTCTACGTTTAGACCAGGAGACAGCAATCTTTCAGAGGCGGAGTGCTGAGATTTGACTTATTCACCTCTGCGTACGGGTCAGAGTGCAAGTGATACTTTCTAAGTCAATGATAGTCCTACTTAGAGCAGCTTCATTAATCAAGAAAGATGCGGATCTTACCTTTTTAGTTCAGGGGTCAGAAACCCTTCCGAAGCAGCATACCAAGATTTATCTTATTCATGGATCTCATGGATCTCTGTGTTGGGGGGGATGGGAAGAGAGGGGAGGGCAGGCTGGGTACGGTGACCATATTTTCTGAACCAGTTGCAGCTAGGGAGAATGGTTTAATTTAAATTATGAAACAGATTAAGTGTTTTAATTGTCTCATGTTGGTTAATCAAGCTTTATTTTAAATAAAGTAAAATATTATGTCCAACACACAAGGTTCCCATGTTTTCTTTATGGCAGCGGTGGGGAACCTTTTTTGTGTTAGGGTCACTGACCACAGAGCAATCAGTTGGGGCTCGCAGGTAAGACGCAGGTATTCGGCATAATGGATGGTCCGAATAGGAGAGGCAGACCCCACAGAGAATGGGTAGATGATATAGTGGATTGGTGCGGAGCTAGTCTCCCGAAACTAAGCCACTCTGCACTGGACAGGGAAAGATGGAAGGAAATAGTGAGGAACGCATCGGACACCGACGGACGTTGAGCCCATGGTGGTTGATGATGATGAACTGAGACACCTCACTCCTCTGGTGCCTGATGGTGCTGGGCGAAGGGAAGGGATGGAGGAACTGAGGTTCAGGGCTTCCCATAGACCAAATTTACTTTTTTGGGGTTTTGGATTTTATGGACCCCCCTTAGACTCTGGGACAGGGACAGAAACAAGGGGTACAGTGTGAGACAGGGCTGCCAAAAAGTAGGATGGGTAAGGGGTACAGGATCTGGGAGGGAGATGGGATGCATGCAGAAGGGGGAGAGGTGGTGAGGTCTGGATGGGAGATAGGGTGCATAAGCAGGCCGAGAGTAGGGTGTCTGGCCATGTGGAGGGAGCAGGAGCAAGGGAGAGTGCAGCAGCAATGGTGGATGCAGGAGCAGGGTGGTGGTATTTGGCCAGGCCAGCAGGGAAGTTGCAGGAGCAGGGGTAGGGTGTCTGGCCAGGAGGAAGGGTGCAGGAACAAGGGAGGGTTTTGGAGCAAGTTGGGGGTGCGGCGCTTTGAGGGGAATGAGGGCATTAGGGAGTGGAGGGCTTTAGGGTGTGGAGGACCGTACCTGACTTCGTAAGATAAGGACCAAAGGGCAGGCTGCCAGGGCCCATGTGGTCCGGGACCAGCCACCGGAAGTCCCATTGCCATGCCCACATCGTCCGGGGATGGCCTTGGAGGCCAAAGGCACTGTGGGGCTGGCCCTGGACCACATGGCCAAAAGGCCCCACTGCTGCAGCCATGTGGTCCAGGGCTGTCCCCAGAGGCTGGAGGTGCTGGTGGTGCTGCCGCTGCCATGCGATTCTGGGCCATCCCTGGGCAGTGTGGCGGCGGCAGAAGCATCTCTGGTCCTGGCCAATATGCTGCTAAGGAGCCTCTGCCCCAACACTGCCTCCTCCCACTGTAGCCTAACCTGCTGCAGGGAGGAGAGAGTGCTCTCCAGCGGCAGTGTGGGGGAAGAGGAGTGGGGCTGAGCTCCCTCCGAGCTCCCTCCCGCGTGCTGCTGAAAATTGGCTCGTGTGCCATAAGTGGCACGTTTGCTGTAGGTTGCCGACCCCTCCTTTAGACCTTCATACATGGCATGAGTTTCACAGGTTGTGCATTATGTCAAGAAGTTTTCCCATGTTTGTTTTAAACCTGCTGTCTGTTAATTCCATTGGGTGACCTCTAGTTCTTGTGCTGTGCAAAGGATTAAATAATAATTCACTATTGCTTATCTCGACACCATTCATGATATTTCAGACTGCTGTGTGTCTTAATCATCGTTTTTCTAAGGTAAATGGTTCTGGCCTTTTTAGACTGTATCTACACTATCATTACTTTGGTATAACTTATGACGTTCAATGGTGTGAATAAGCCCCCCAGTGACATAAGTTAGGCTAACCTTAGCACTGCTGTGGACAGTGCACACGGTGCTTGTTGGATTAATTAAGTTGACTGGAGAGCTTACCTTTTGGCTTAGAGCAGCTGCCCTAGAAAGCTTACAGCAGTGCAGCTGTGTCACTATAAGATCTCTAGTGTAGTCAGTCTGTCTCTCTCATATCGTTCTGTGTTCTATTGATGTTAGATATAGTGTAACTGAACAATCATGTAACTGCATGAAATCTTGGTGGTTACACGAGTATTCGATTGTCCCCAGGAGTAGGGCCGGCGGCCTGTGCTCTGGCCCCATGCTTGGGGAGCCTCCCACCACCCTGCGCTGCTTCCTCAGTATCAAAAGGCAGCAGTGCAGGGTGGCAGGCGGGAGCTGGGCTGTGAGAGGAGCCAGTTTAAAAACCAGCAGGCAGCTGGTAAGCGAGGGGAGCTGGTTTTCAAACTGGCTCCCGCTTGCCACCCCAAGCTGCTGCCTTGGATAGAGAGGCAGTAGCATGGGGGGCAGGAAGGGGGCAGGGGATTCCCCAGGGGTGGGGTTGGACTGCACTGGCAGCTGGCCCCATCACCGGGGTCTATAGAATAGTTGCGTAACAAATGATATTTTATGTGGTTACATGACTATTCAATTATATGATCGCTAACATCCCTACTACGTGCAACATATACATCCCTCTCTGTCCCCCTGCAAGTAAATTTTTTAGTGGGCTGGCTGATAGGCTGGCTCATCCCAGCTTGCACTGGGACCTGGCACCAACTCCCGATTCGGCTCTGCAGTACAAGCACTAAGATCTGCCACAGGGTTTGATGCTGGGTCCCGGCATGAGCCAGCATGCCTGAACACTGGCTGTCAGAGCTGGTACTTCAGAGTCGCAGCAAGGGTTGATGCTGGATCCCAGTATTAAGAGCCGGTGTGCGGGCAGGCTGGCTCAGAACGCAGCATCAATCCTGTTGCGGTTCTGAGGTACAATCACTAAGAGCTGGCACGAGGCTTGATTCTGGGTCCTGGCATGGTCCAGGACTGAGCCAGCCAGCCCATACGCCAGCTTTTAGTGCTTCTAGTGCAGAGTTGCAGCAGGGGTTGATGCTGGGTCCTGGCATGAGTTGGCACTGAGTGGTAGCACTGCTACCCCGTATCAATCATGTAGTAGACAAAATTTTTGTTTACTATATAGTTAATGAATTACATGCGTCTTAACTTCCCTAATCCAAAGAGGAACATAACTGCGTCTTACCAGTGTTCTTAATGAGGGGAGGCTGTTAGTCAACATCTTCAGTAAAGATTCACCCGACAGTATGTTTTACGCAAGGATCTTGCATCGCTTTTCTGAAAACCCTCACAATGCCTCTGTGAGGAATTAGCTCTGTTTTAGATGAGTACACTGAGAAGTTAAGTGACTTGCCTGAAGCGTCTCATAGTGAATTATAGGTGCAGCCTGGAATTGAAGATAGGACTCCTGAATTTGAATTCTCATCTTATCCTTCGACCATTTTTTTAAATTGCTGATAAAATGACTTAATTTATAAAGTATTGACTATGGCTCTAGAGCCCATAACATTGAATAGCGCTGAAACGTGTCTACTGATGCAAGCTTCTACCATCACCTGATCTATTAAGGTCTTAAGTACATTGTCTGTCTGAAATAGGTTATAAGCTCTGTGGAGCTGGGATTGTGTTCAGGTCTGAGCATGCTATCACCAATAAATAAGCTCTTTGTTTGTAATTCATGCCATTTTGTGTATAACCATGTACTTTGAAAGCAGCAGGGCCTGTATCGTAGTTGATCCAGCAATGATTTTGGTTTTGAGAATTGAATAATTCCACATGTGTGCTTTGTGCTTCATCCATGCCATAGAGCTAGAGGATCAGAAGATCTTGTATTGCAAAATTAACTTAACTGAGCTAACATTCTTTAAATTTGTTAGTTAGCTTTAAGAGATGGAGTGTATAAGCCCTTGAAAGGGACCTGACCAACTGGTCTGTACTTACAGCTACATTCTCTTTTGTGTTTCAGGAACCTGCAAGCAGCCATTGGAGCCTACTATGACTTTGAGAGTCCGAACATTAATGTGCCCTCCATGTCCTTTGTGGAAGACGTTACCATAGGAGAAGGGGAGTCCATCCCACCTGATACCCAGTTTACAAAAACATGGAGGATACAAAACACAGGTAAATGGGGTTAGATTTCTTTCCTTTTTTACTAAACTGAGATGGAAATATCATAGAAATCAAGATCTACTTGTGCAGAATGATCTTATATTTCATAGTAGTAAAGTTATTTCATGTCAAGGTATTAATGAAGGGGGAGGTTTGAGACCCAAGGGGCAATGAAATGCCTATATTTCATTGAAAATCATGGTAGTTAGGTGCCTACCATCTTGTTGCCTTTGAAAATGTTCACCTTTCTGGTAGGGATGTGAAAGATTAACTGGTAAGTGTTGGAGCAGCTCTCTGCCTGCCACGGGAAGGGAGCTGCTCCAGCCCTGCAGGGCCTGCCGCGAATGGGGACACTCCAGGCTGGGTAGAGCACCCCTTTAATTGGTTAAACATCACATTTAACTGCTTAACCCAGGGCTTCTCAAATTTTGTGATACTGTGACCCCCGGGAGGTCGGGACCCACAGTTCGAGAAATGTGGGGTTAACCAGTTAAATGGGGTTTTACATCTATACTTTCTGGACAGTCACTTTTGGGTGTAATGGAAGCATGTTATATTGACAAGCAGGGAGCTGTAATTTCTGTCTTATCTACCTTAACTTTCCAGGGAAGCCGAGTCAGGAGACATAATACAAAGGTCTGTATATTGGTTAGAAAGAAAAAAGCAGATGTGATGTGATATCTGCAGCCTAGCTTCTTGCTGCTGTTCCCTCAGGCTCCTTCCATGCTTACCATCCTCACTGCCTTTTTTAGGAGGGCTCTTTTATATGGCAGTCACATGACAAGGGGTAGAACAAGATGGTGTTTATATGGGTGTAAAAGGACCTTACGAACTCTTTTTTTTTCTTTTCAGTCCCAGGTATATCTGGTCACTTGAGTAATTTCCATCCCTATAAACTGGATTGATATTTTCTGTGCCCTTCGTTAGTAATTCATTTATAGGCTGTTTATACTTTGAGCTCTGCACAGCACCATTGTATTTATGGGGATGTTTGTTGTCCTGTTCAAACCTTCTGTTTTGACTGGTTGACATCCTGAATGTTCCAAACTCTGTGGAGGAGGAATTTGTAATGTAAATTCTCAATCTGAAAATAAAACCACGGGACCTAGAAGTGGTCCCAAGTAGTAGTTTCTGTTGAAGTTCTTTATTCTTCTTGCTCTTCTTCTGTCCCTATGCTATATAGTTCACTTAGGAGGAAAGCCTTTAATTGGGATGGTAGTTGTGTTAGAACAATTCCCTAGGAACACATTTAGCCTTACTATTGTGAATGGCATGAGCCAGATGGCACACTACTGAAATCAGTAGTTTTGCTCCAATTGGAGCAGTATCAGTCCCTGCCTGGATACAATATTATTAACAATTCTGATTCAGACAGATTAATGTCTCCAGTTATGATGTCCAGTGGTCTTTTGACCAGGAGTTTCCATCCCTGTGGAATTTGCCAAATACAAATGAAATGCAATAAAAATTGCATGGAATTTCTTATTTTCAATCTTTTCCTTCGCATAAAAAAGGCTCTTCTAATCACAATCTCTTCCAACTAGAGGATGGAAATTATGTACTTTTACAAAGGGATATTTTTCAGCAAGTAAACTCAGCCCATTTAAAATCAGAATTGTTTTATTTAAACTTCTTTAAACTCATGAGCAGCGAGTATGTTAGAACAACATTTCATTCTTTTTTGTGTATATGTGGTCTGTATGCTCTCCATTCTGTTGTTTGTGGGGCACTTCATAGAATCAATGATAGTGTTGAGAAATCAATAGAGATGATGCAACTCGGAGAAGAAATGGTGTAAGGTCCAACTAAATTACTCACCGCAAGGCTGTGATCTTTGTAATTCTATTAAAACTGTGTGTGACTTGTGGAAGAGCATAATCTTGTGACAATTACTAGAGGAGAGGATGTGATGCAAGTTTGAGAAGACATCATTTCAGCATGAGGTGAGCCAAAACAGTCTCTTGCATGTGAGTCTGAAGTGAGGCCAGGCAAAATAAATGCTCAGCATTTATTTACTGGGATGTAATTATGGGAGGAAATGAGATGGGTCAGTTCAAAGAGAGATAATATTTTGTCCTTAAGTACTGCAATGACCAACTGTTGTATGTGTAGTTAACCGATGTATCAGAATTGAATTGCGATGCTTTTGCTGCTTCTGTGCAGAAGAATGATCGCATAACAATGACTGTGTGAGCAAAATACAGCAGTATAAAAATAAGTGATTGTATTTGCTATAGTGCTTGGAGCGCTGTATAGTAATATGCTAGTTTCCTGATGAATAAACTAGGGCAATACAACTTAGATGGGGCTACTATAAGGTGGGTGCATAACTGTCTGGATAACCGTTCTCAGAGAGTAGTTATTAATGGTTCACAGTCATGCTGGAAGGGCATAACAAATAGGGTTGCACAAGGATCTGTTTTGGGATGGGTTCTGTTCAGTATCTTCCTCAGCGGTTTAGATGATGGCATAGAGAGTACGCTTGTTAAGTTTGCAGATGATACCAAGCTGGGAGGGGTTGCAAGTGCTTTGGAGGATAGGGTCATAATTCAAAATGATCTGGATAAACTGGAGAAATGGTCTGAGGTAAATAGGATGAAGTTTAATAAAGAGAAATGCAAAGTACTCCACTCTAGGAAGGAGCAATCCATTTCACACATACAGGCGTCAGAGTATTGTGTCCAATTCTGGGCACCGCATTTCAAGGAAGATGTGGAGAAACTGGAGAAGACCAAAGAAGAGCAACAAAAATGATTAAAGGTCTAGAAAACATGAGCTATGATGGAAGACTGAAAGAATTGGGCTTGTTTAATTTAGAAAAGAGAAGACTGAGAGGGGACATGATAGCGGTTTTCAAGTACTGAAAAGAGTGTTACAAGGAGAAGGGAGAAAATTGTTCTTCTTGACCTCTGATGATAGAACAAGAAGCAATGGGTTTAAGTTGCTGCAAGGGAAGTTGAGGGTTGGACATTAACCACCCTGACTGTTAAGAAGTTTTTCCCTATACACTTGAATAAATTACCTAGGGTAGGGATGTAAGTGACTAGTCAAGTAGTCGACTATCTGATAAGCATACGTTTATTGGGTAGTTGAGTGAATACTCGCTTCCTCCTTGGCCCCCGCTGCCTCTGTATCAGAGGCAGCAAGGGGGGAAGCAGGAGGTGGTGCTGGGGAGAGCCCAGCTTAAAAACTGACTCCCCCCAGCATCGTCTTCGCAGTGCAGGGGAGACAGAGCCCAGGATCCCAGGGGTGGCGCAAGCCGGGACTATCCAGTCCCTGCTTGAGCTGCCCTGATAGCTGACTCTGCTGTGACTCTGCACTTTAAATGCAGTAAGAGCTCGGCGGGCTTTTATTACATTTAAAGTGTAGAGCCACAGCGGGAACGCTCCCCTTACCCCTTTATTGACTAATCAAATTATGGAATTTTCATTGACTACTTGATTACTCATTTAACTGATAGTTAACATCCCCTAGCCTAGGGAAGTTGTGGTCTCTCCATCACTGGATATATTTCAGAGCAGATTAGACAGACACCGATCAGGGATGATCTAGATGGTGCTTGGTCCTGCCATGAGGGCAGGGGCCTGGACTGGATCTCTTGAGGTCCCTTCCAGTTCTTGTGTTCTATGATTCTATGCTAAAAATTCTAAAACAAGCATTATTAAAAGCCCACCGTCCTAAAAACTTAGACTTTGAAACTGGCCAAGAGGGGAGGTCAAGGTAGACTCAGCAGCACTGTTGTATTGGACTTTCCTGTGTGTATTTGGTGGTTGTTTGGGTAAAATAGAAAGGTGATTGAGCACTGTGTCTTATAATTTGTAAAACCAGTTGACAAATCTATACACGTATTATATTTGACATTAATTGTCTATATATTATATACATAAGACATGCTTGACAATTAATGAGGGATAGATCCCAGTGGAGCACGTTTTTCACCCTAGCAATCCCCACAGCAAAGGCACTATAACCTTCTTATCTGTTGAGGTGGCGTTTCCTAGAAGTTCAAGTCCTGTCTTAAGTTTAAGATTGAGACTGAAAAGTGCGAAAACCCTAAATGAAATCCCCATATGTGAGACCTCTTAGTGTTGGCTGATAGACCTGTCTGTAGTAGCTAAAGCAGTGTTTCTTAAACTGTCCTGTGGTGCACTGGTGTACCATGGAGAACAACAGAGTTCAAAATGACTGCCCTTAAAGGGACAGGCGACCTTTTCCCCCTCAATAACTCCCCCCCGCCCCCAACAAAAAAATTTGGAGTTCCTCATAAAAAAAGTTGTTTGTTCCTCGGTCTTAAAAAGTTTAAGAAACTATCTAGATTTTTTTTTTAAGCTACAGTGAATTTTATATTTTGTTTAAAATTTGTTTCCTCTCCTAAAATCTTTGGGCCTTATAAGATGTGCGTTAGGAAACTGAAAGAAACAGTTTTAACATAAAATTCCTTGTTTTTTTGGCATCTTGTCAAAACCAAAATTTTGGCTTTCACCAGGCCTGAAACATGACTTGTTTTGTACATTTTGGCTGTAACAATAATTGGCTCTGTCCACAAGGGCCAGACCACACCGTTACATCTTGGTTTAGCTTCAGTCCAGGGAAACTACCGTTTTCATGGTGGTATTGCTGTTGTGCAGTTTAGACTGTCTCTCTCATTTAAAAATTATTTTAATTAAGATTTTTTTATCGAAGGACTGAAATGTTGTTCAAGATAAGATCTTGTAGGTAAATAGTGAAGTAAAGCCAAGATTCTTCTTCGAGTGGTTGCTCATGTACATTCTGATATAGGTGTGTGTGCGTAGCATGTACGTGCCGTTGGAGACTTTCCCCTCAGCAGTACCCTTAGGGCCAGCAGGAGCCCCCTGGAGTGGCGCCGATATATCAGCCCATATATATCCTTGGTGGCCCCTTCACCCACTCAGTTCCTTGAAAGTCGTTGGAACAACCCTCAGCTCGTCTTCGAGTCATTCTCTTCACAGTTCTTCTCCATTGTTAGCTGTCTTCTGTTAAGTACCTGTTAA